CCTGCTTGTGTAGTATGCTGCAATGATAAATATGAATGGTAGTAATAGTTGTAATTGTAATAGTGGCTTTTAAAAAAAGTTCTCATAACTTTGAGGAATCACTGCAAATTTACTGCAAATGTACATAACTACAATGAAGCACGAATTTTTAAATAAAAAAAAACTAGTTGCAATAGATATACATGTACATGAATATGCATTAAATAAATTACCTTTTTAGCAGTACATGTATCCGAGAGTGTCTTTCCCTTAGTAGCTACTTCATCCTCCCTCTTGGCTTACTTTTCAGGCTGAGTAACTTTAATAACTTTCTCCTTCTTCTCATCTTCAATTGCACTAATCTCTGGTATGCAAGCTAGGAACTCTTCAACTGTGCTGAAGCCATACTCAATCAGTGGAAGCTCCCTGGTTGTTATTTTCTAAATAAATGAACACAATAAAGAATAAATGCATCATTTACACTAAACAGCCAAACACAAAACAACACAGCACAGTCCATATCATCTACACAAATTTATGTACATGTACATAGTATCATAGCAAATTAAAGGATAAAAATTTGTCAAATATTTTTAATAATAAATTAAAGCTAGATCATACACTATCACATTAACGAACCTCAAAAAACTTTGGAAACTGGAGAACAGGAACAGGTGGAGACCCTTCCAATATTCTACACACTAGCAGTGACAATGTTTCAGGAATGAATATAGGTTTTTTCATTAATGCACTTGCTGCAGAAACACCTGTAATAAAAAAATAAAGACTGAATTGTAAACGTGAATTGTACATCTGTATATGTGCAAAAAAAGAGTCACAACTATTTCTATAATTATAATTTTGATTATTCTATTGTAGTAACATACTCTACATGCCCAATTTACATACATGTACATGTACTATAATGTATACAGTAAAGTATATGTAAATGTAATCCAACAATGTAAACACCTTTAACTTTCAGCAAACAAAATAGGCTCAAAAACAAAAATAGTTCACAGAACCATTACATACATGTAAATCTCCATTTTAAGTGCTACATGTACACATACAAAAACTTACTAGCAGTGTCTTGTTTTTTAGCAAAGACAAGATACTCTCCATCTTTTGTTGGTTTCTCTAAGTCAGCAATATCTGTCATCTCAAACAACATCTCCACAATGCTAGCATAGCCCAAAGACTGCTTTGGTAGGTCCTCATTAAAGTAATTCTAAAAAAGCAACATACATGTATTACCAGCACTGTAATCAAAGAACAAGTAATACCTTGTATTTAGTTGGAATATCAGAAGCTTTAACACCACTTTTTGAAGATTTCAGGACCTACATGTACATTAAAACATAGAGGTAATATATATGCTACACATAATGTAAATTGTCAAAAAATAAGACAAATATTATGTGCAATAACAGACACAGCAAAAATAGTTGCTATAAAATGCGTTAGGTTCTTCTAAGCTTTTGAAAATGAAAAAATACATGCATGTACAGTCACATACATGGAAATATTAATACAATATGTCTGTTATTTTTAATGGTGTAAATACATACAAGTGTATTGGCTAAATTAATGAAAATTTATATGTATCACACAGCCAACGATAATACATTTCGATTAGAACAAAATAACATCACTATACATGTAACATGTGATGAAACAAAACTATCACTGTCATGAATATTAATTATTCAATGCAATTTCAATTCAAAAAAAAAACAAAATATAAACGTGCATGCCTTTAAATATAATTACAGGTATGTAACACAACTTTGGAACTACGATATTCATATTATATGAATCTACATGCATACCATAACTAAAGAGTTATATGTACATGTTGTGATACTAGTGAATACCAATCCATTCAAATCAGAGCATTATATGTCTGGGGAGTACTATCAAGTGACATGATAGATGTGAGCATGCTATCTCAATGACAAATTGAACATAGTCAGACAATATTACAACTAATAGATTAGAAATCATGATACAAGATCAAGCTACAATGTTAACAAATAGATGAAGTAGGTGTATCACTTCTTATTCACAAATGAATATATGATATGTATGCTATGTACACAGCATAAATAGCACATAAATGTTAGGGGCATAGGCAGGATTTTTGGAATGCGGGGGCAAACTATGAGGCGCACAAAGCATGCTATAAAATTTCGTGAAACCAAGTCCTTTTAGGGCGTGACTACACCTCTTTTTCAATATGCTGGACTTCTTCAACGATCATAGGCAATGTTGAATATCTTTTCAGCTTTATAATGGCATCACAGACAGACTGGTTTAGCCTTTTCCTTTGATATGTAAGTTGTAGAACAGCTTTTCCTTCCAAAAGCAGCTTATTATTTTGCTAATTTTAAATTTTGATTTTAAAAAAGGGAGGGGGCATTTGCCCCCTGGCTATGCCACTGCATGTATGCACATGTACATATGCATAAAGTACAGTTAAAACAT